TTTCACACATCAGTAGAATGGAGAGAGAGAGTTATTACACCGTGGAGAGCTGGCTTCACGGCACAGCTGCCTCAATGGTCAGCCTCTGCAGGCCAGGCTATTCATTAGACCGTCCTGTTACTAAACCAGGGATATGGTTAAGGGGACAGTTCTGTGTGGGGAGACATTCGGTCTTGATACATCTGCCATCAATTTGATTGGTATTCAGAAAACTTCCATATTCATAATATTTGCAAGGCTACACAAAATAGAGCTCTCATTATTTGGGAAAATGTAATATTTTATACTTCTACATTGTACTATTTACTTCAATTCACTTATTCAAAATCTATTGGAGTTTACCAGAGAACTCCAAGTTACTTTGCCTGTTAAATCCTTCTCAAATATGCATATGTTTACGTAAATGTGACAATTGAACTGTCGCTCTTATTCTGACTTAAAATGGCTTTTATATAAACTTTACTGCTTTTTGCACATCTGATTTGATGCATTTTGTTGTCTCTGTACTATGTACAATGACCATTATATAGAATTGTATGTAATTTTATTTGGGCAGACGTAGCTCAGGCTGTAGGGACTTGGCTTAGGAACCCAAAGGGTCGCTGGTTCAAGTCCTGATCGGACCAAAATAATATGGAGTGTGGACTGGCAACGGGAGAGGCGGACAAACTGGCAGCCTGTTTGCTCCGACTTCTCTCAATATAACAGAATATAACATGTACTTATTTATGTATATGTATTCAGACCTACTGTGTATAGGTCCTTTGTGTGTGTATAGTACTGTGTGTAATAACAACTGAGTCAACTGAATTTACAAGGGTCTTCTTCTTGTAAAAATATTTCAACCCTCTTAAATAAGATAATTGAAAATTGTGACTCAATAATAAATATTTTTAATTTTGAAACTGCACTTGATCCAACTGAGTATGACTACAAACAAAGAGAGAATAAAGGGGTAGGTGACTTGCACGGTTGCTGGATCAATCACTCCATCTAGTGCCAGTCCTACTCAAAAGTAATGCACACGTTGTTGGACAATAACTCTGCCATCAAAACATGAGTGTATTTTGACCTTGGCATCGTACCTAATAATCAAGTCAAGGATCGTTAAAGACGGGTGAAGAGGACGAGATGTGAAAGAAAACAAGCGCACACATATTGCAGCCGTTAAAGAGAGCGCTTCGCCACTGCACTTCATCTGCTTCCCTCTAATTAAACCACTAGGAATAGATCCACAGATCCACCGAAGTGCCGCATAGCGCCAGCCGCCACACCAAGAGCTGGCGGCCTCCAGTCCGCCCTCTGTAGAGCTTCCAACACACAGAAGCCACTGGGGTTTTATACATAACTCTTCCCGGCCAGAGCTCCAGGGCTTTCCAGGCGCAGTTTGAGTCATATCATTGTTTCCTGCTAAGTCTATCTTTCTTGTTTCTGCCATGTTTTGCTTGACCACTGTAAAAGCAACTTCCCCAAACTTCTTGGAAAGATTTCACTAGGAGCCAGACCAATGAACCCGTCGCTCAGGATTTGGGCTCGGATCAAATCAAGAGGCCTCTAATTATGGGACAATCGCAAGCTGGCAGCTCAGAGATGAAAATGAATAGAAGAATAAATACTGATTGAAGAAGTCCTGCCATTTGAAGAGTGAAAAGAGTAGCCTTTCCTAATCTTATTACACGCCAAAAATACATATAAATTCAGGGGAAATGTTGTGTTTTTTGGCTTCATTTTTGGTTCTGTTTTCAGTAGTTATGTAGCCGTTTAGATTTAGCTCAGTACAATGAGTCAGAAAGATGATAAGTGTATAGAGTTTTAAGTTTAAGTTGCCTTGTAGAAAGGGTCATGGGGGAACTGTCAGCTTTAACAAGTACATGGAAACTAACTGCCACATGTGCGATCTTAAAAGTACACTTCTGTTGACAACTAGCTTGGACATAAAGGAAAAAAAGTTGAAGAAAAGACAGCAATATTTCTGGGAACATTTAATGAAAGCTGACTTAAGACACTTCCAAAACCTGGCATAGCATAGTGACTAGAAAAATTGATGAATTGGAAGCTCATATCTCTCATTAAAAACCTCAACTACAGCAAAAGTTAGAAACTAAAAGGGGACACACTGGACCCCAATGGCAACCACATAAAGAAAGGACAAGGACCTACAGATTCAAATATTGCTGATTCCAAACACACACATTAAGCAAGTTACTAATGCATGTTACGCCTCTGCTTAACTCAACACTTTTGGTAATAGGTGCTTTTTTTTTTTTGCCGGATTCTCAGCTGATCAGTGTAACGATGCTGCATGAAACTGCCATGACATCATCTTCGACGGCACACTCCCTAAATACTTTCACCGACAATTAAACAGCCTTTTTAAATGGACTAAACCTAACCCTAGTTTTGTGGTTACATATTCATATTGTGGACAAAATTGCAGTTGCTATTGATGCTGGCCTTGCAACCAGAAAAGACAGAGTCATGTTCAGTAGAGCTTGTAATACCATATAGAGCAGTGGTTCTCAACTGGTGGGTCGCGACCCAAAAGTGGGTCGCGAACCCGTTTCGAGTGGGTCCCGGATGTGTGAGTGAAGAAAAAAAAGTTGAAATAAAAATTTGGAATTTTCTTTTTTTTTTTTTTGGGAAAAAAGTCAAACTTTTATTTTGAAGGCCCGATTCTCTAACGCTGTGCATGCAGTAGGCGTTGGACTGGAAGTACCGGAGACCATAAACGGTTTTGAAAACTTCTGTCACGTAGTGATCATCTTCTCAATAAAACATCTTTGCTGATGTTTTTTCGAGTCTTCTGGCCAATCAGAATCAAGATTGTTGCCGGAAGTCCCCACGGAGAATAACTTTGCGGTAGAACTCTTCTTTATACATCCATGGGTACAACTTCAGATAGAAATGAACACATGATGAAATATGACCCCCGGTTTGATGACTGACAGGTCACAGAACAATGGGAGCTATCTACCCTTACCCACAATTTAAAGTAATTCACACAGACTATCTCCTCTTTGCTCTTCTCTCTGTGTGGAGCAGCAAGTTCAGCTGTCGGAACAAAGTGAAAAACAAACAATGGCATACAATATTATTAACATGTCGGGTAGTAATAGATTTAGTTATTTTCTTCTCAGAGTGTACCAGAATGCGTAGTTTATGTTAGTATTTCTAAAAATCTCCTGGGGGGAGAAACCCCCCAGACCCCCCTTCTGGGGTTGGGTGTTCAGCATGTGTGCCTTTTTATATAGTTCAGCTTTGATTCCAAAATCTCATTAAACCTTTTTTTAAATCATACTTTAGTTCTGTGAAGGGATATAAGGGATATATTCACTGTACTAAACTTTAATTAATATTGTATGCTGAAAAGCGTATATATTACAGCATGATTTTTTGTTGAATAGATTTGAGTGCTTCAAAATGTTGGGTCGCGATGTATTGACCAAGTAAAAAGTGGGTCCCGAGGCCTGACCAGTTGAGAACCACTGATATAGAGAACATGTGTAAATACACTAACTCACTGATAAAAGATTGGAATCAAGAATGATTTACTTAAAATGTTTAATAATTGTATGCTGTTTTGATGGTTTCTACTGGCACTGTTTTCTTTTTAAATGTTTCCTACGACTTTTTGGTTTAAATTTTTTTTGCACGTTTCTTCTTTTTTTATATATATATGTTTTAAGTGCCTTTATTTTAGTGACAGCTATGAAAGGTTGAGTGGCACATTCCACAGCTGTTCATATCACAACCAGTTTTTTAAATGTTTAGCACTAGGTTTTTTCTTTTTTATTAAGCAATGTTTGGCTTTTTTGTAGATATCATGTTTACTTCCTGCTGAAAGGACTACCATGTCCTGTCTTCATTTGTCTGCAGTATCATCCTGTTCCTTTTCATAAAGAGCTGCAGAGTTTAGCCATAAGTCTCGAAGGATTTTTGGGGCTTGGAGGTCAAGGAGTGAGAGCCATCTCTCATCAGCTCCATTATTAACAGCACATACACACACAGAGCACAGAGCATAAAATACATGAACACACAAACACGCACGCACACGCACACACACGCACAAAAGCATACACACCAAAGGAGTAACAGGAACATTCACAAGCTCATTTATAGTTTTACAAGATAGCTTTTATTAAGGGAAATGTCAGAGTAAAATACTATGAGAGGTGAGTCTAAAATGTAAACATTAAAGCTGCCTTCAGACACTGATTCATGAACTTGTAGATTCCAAAGGCATAAAGTAAAAAAAAAAAAAGTCATCTTACTTGTGTGTTGTGCTGAATTAAGAAACCTAACCTTAAAGAGTCCCTATTAGGCTTTTTGGGGTTTACCCTTTCCTGTGGTGTGTTATATATGTTTTTGTGTGCATGTAAATGGTCTACAAAGGCAAAAAATCTAAAAGTTCCTCTTCCACACTCTCCCCCCGTTCCTGAAACGCCTCCATTAGACTCCTTTGTTTACTTCCGTAACATAGTGACATAACTATGTAAAAGTGCCACTTCTATTGGCTAGCGCTCCAACACATTGTATGTGATATGCTAAGAGAGCGGACATCTCTAAGCGGTTGACCAATCACAACAGAGCCGGCCAGCTAACCAATCAGAGCAGACTGGGCTCTGGTTTCAGACGGAGGGTGAACAAAAATTAAGCACTGTAAAACATGTAAACATGTCACAGTAGATGCACTAAGTACAAATAGGAACCTGAACATGATCAAAGGGCCCCTTTAAGGTTTGTGCAAAGGGATACGTTTGGGAAACTCAGGCTAAATGCATGTTCATTGTGAATAATAGAGTATGAATACACCCAGATGAATACATGTGTGTGAGTTGGCTAGTTCAGGACCACTTAGGAGACTAGATAAAGACTCATGTGAATCAAGCACACATCATTTTACACTTGAATGGAAGCGTAATTCCTCTCCTGCCTCCTCTAAACTTGTAAAGAGTCCTTACTCAGAAATAAATGTGTGCGCGTGTGTGAGTGTGTCTTACCGCTGGGGTTGAATTGCATGCAGGATATGGGTTTGTCATGAGCTGGGAAGTGAGCCACCACTCCCTCTCCGTCCGACTCCTCACTCACCAAGACCTGAAGTAAATACACACACACGCAAAAACACACTGAAACTCTTTTTCAAACAATAAGAACATTCAACCCAAAATGGGACTTTCCCCTACCCAAGGATTTATCTTCACATTTTAGTTTATTCTGATATCACCACCACACTCAGCAGTGTTCTTTGACATCACCCTTTGGTGAAATAGCGGAAAGTTAAACTCCTTTCTGAATGAGTCATTGCCCTCTTGTGGATAGAAAATAATTAGCATATTACCTTTGTAAGAAACAAAGGCAAGACAAATACGCACTTTTTCCAAATATTTTTCTTTGTGCTGCATGAAAGGAATTAGGAATCATCAAAAGCTGAGCTATTTTTTTGATTATTAATGCTTCATTAAGAGGCTGTACTAAAACCAGTGTGAACCGGGTAAAACAGAGACAAGAGTTTGTACAAATTCGATTTTCTCATGTGTTTAAATAGGAAACTGGACCAAACAAGAATGAGCCTCTTTAGGGCTTGATCTCAGACAAGCAAGCAAGATAAAAAAGGAAGTAAGAAAGAAAGGAAGAAAGAACAGGACACTTTTATAACAATTCAGGTAGACAATAGTGTTCTGTGAGGGAGTCCTGCTGGAGATCTTTGAAACAAGAGGGTCCACCAGAGAAACATTACGAATCGGAGAGTGTTTGTGCCTGTTTCAGCAATTTCTCACTGAACTGAGTTTTGTTCTTGTTCTGTGCTGGTGCTAATTTGGTTGAACCAACTGCAAACCAGTTTGATTTTCCACAAAACAACCTGTGTATGAATTGATTACAGCCGACAGCTGGTATATTAAAAAAACTGAAAAATGGCTTATATATACAGATTATATATTATATTATATTATATATAAGCAGGGTGGTATGTTGCTGTTCAAAAAGGCCAATGACAGAAAACAGGTGGTGATTAAAAGTATGGTGAAAAATAATGATTATGTCGTACATATGCCTGGTTAATGTCTCATGATGTTTCTATATATGTGTGTGTGGATGCGTTTTGACCTCTTTGCGTTCTCTGTGCTACTGCTACTGTAACACTTTCTACTCTTTGAGGTACTCTCCATGAACTATTATTTGTCAGTCTAATCTTGCCCTAGCCTCGTACGTGAGCCTCCGACATACTCTTGGTTCTTGGTGTTGGCATAAAAGATAGTTGGGGCCCCGAGTTGAACCAATTTCAGGGGACGGTGAACCAGGGCTACTGAAGTGGAAATGCACATTTTTTTTCTCGCAATTGGCTACTGTAACAACTTTCTACTCTTTGCAGTACTCGCCATGACATTTGATCTGTTAGGCTAACCTTGCCCAAGCCTTGGACGTGAGCTTCCGACATACGCTGCTCTTGGTTCTTGGTGTTGGCCAAGAAGATAGTTTAGGCCGGAGTTGATCTAATTTGTGGGGCTGATAACCAGGGCTACTCAAGTGGAAGCACAAAAAAAAAATCAGAACCGGCCCTGGAACCACCTTCATTGAAAACGGGTTATGATTCTGCTGTTACAAAAGTGGCATTTTAAAGCCTGAAAGACATGAGAATAGCCTGGACTGCCACACTGACAGCAAACAATCTCTATTATATTCCTGCCTTTTACCATTTCTCCAACTATCACACCCCAACCCCAATCTTCATTCACTCTCCATTGCCAGCCCACCCTCTGATTCCTCTCCCTCTACTGTACATTTCTCTTCCGCTTGAAGCTTTTCCCTCCGTGCTAGCCAGGCCCAGTCAGTGTTTATGGCCAGTGTACGGTTACAGTGTGTCGGCTGCTGACAAAGTGCAGGCCTGCTTCTGAAGGCTTAGGTTCAGCTTATAAGACAACACACTCCATGACTACAGCGGGGCCACAGTCGATGTGTAAGAGAGAAGGAATAAGCAGTAAATGTGTGTGTGGTGACCACATCACTGACAAACTGTACTGTGTATGCTTACACACCTCATTAAAACATGACAGCTACTGCAGTGTGATTAATCACGGTAAAGTGGATACAAGCTTTTAGCATGTCTTTAGATGTCAAAACGAGATCCTGTTAAAGGTAACTGGACTGGTTCTAACCATAACATGGGTTGGATCTATATTTTAGTGTGTAAACTTTCTGTATCCTGGTATATGTACCTCGTTGGGTCTGTGCAGAAGGATGTTTAAGGGCCATACATCCAAATGGAGCTAATGCAGCTTACCACTTTGCAAAAAAAATTGAGAAATAACCAGCATCAACCAATCTGAGAAAAATGTGTCATTAAATATTTGATACTTTTATCAAACATTATGCCGAGAGAAAATACTTTTTTAATAAAAAAAAAAAATAGTATTAAGTTTATATTATAACTATTATGTTCTTAAAATGTTGGTAGCTTTTTGCCAAATTGGTCAAATGTCAATGGCATTAATATATAATGTTAATCCAAAGAGTTGAACATTTTGATTTCAAAGAACAAATTAAAAGACTGGACCCTGTATATAACATCCTTTTAGGTAATTTAACCCTCCTCTATTCACTACTTGCAATTTTGAGGTGAAAAGTATATATACAGACCAACAGAGTGTTTACATGCAGCAAATATAAGTCACGCCTTTCATCAAGTTGTGCGGGTTTAGGTGAATGGACCCATTCACCTAAACCTAAGGGTCCAAGCCACAAAAAAAAGCCAAACCTTGGATTTCCTGTTTCAAATAAACCCGCAGCGGCCAAAGTCATGTTTACCTGGGTCACACATTACAACATCCAAGAGGCAAATAGCCAATACGAAATTGGTGCCAATTTAGTTTTGGTTATGTGTGTGTTAGTTCCGGAAAAAAACGGAAACCAACAAAAAAAATGTCAGTTTAATATAATATAAACATTTGTGTTTTATACTCTAAACCTCTGTTACAATTCTTCACACATTTTGAATGAAAAGATTGTAATTTAAAGATTTGTTTTGCATTTTTCTTTTTGGAATATGGTCAAAATAACATTGAATAATGCACAGAACCCAAGATAATTTTCATTTTTTAAACAACAGTAATTTGTTACTCAGGATTGGTTTAGAAATCAATATATTACAATCATAGCTTTTGTTTATGTTATGTGTGTTTTGGTGTATCTTTATCTATATGTATATGTATATGAATCATCAATACTGGCTAATCTGTCTTCTTAACACAGATTTTGTTTGAATATGTTCTCTTAAGGTGTTTCTAAAATATGGTTCATAAGACTGGGACAGATGTCAGGTCACAGTCCTGGACCTTTGAACACCAAAATCTAAACACCTGGTCCATGATTCTAAGTTGATGTCTGTGCGGAATATTGACAAATTCCCTGAAGGCGTTCCTGAAATATCGTATTCAAGAGAATGGGACAGACTGACGGAAAACCTGATTACATTAGGCCTCTGGACATCACTGTTGACATCACAGAGACAAGATGAAATACCAAATCTGGCAGTTTTACCTGATGTGGAAGAGACCTTTGATATTGTTCATATCAATATCGTGATAAAAATGTTGTATTTTTGACAGTACGAAATTATAAAGTGTCAATGACAATTCAACCAACAAAATCACGGTGAACAGTACCAGTATTATTAAATTATACAATACCAAAGGAAAGCAGAAACACTTGACTGACCTGTCCTTCGCCAACACTATGTGTGTCGATGATGGTGACCACCCCTGGGTTGTGGGGGCTGCGGCGGATCACACTGTGAGGTGTGCCCTCCTCATCCGGAGTACCTGCTGGAATGGTGCCTGCCAACTGCGTGACAACTTTACCCACCATTGTCAGGCCTGTCTTTAAAGTCTGAAAGAAAAAAAAGAAAGTATAGAGGCTTAAAAATCTAACACCTAATGTCAAATATTAAATATTCGGAACACATGTTATAAATTGCATTTTGAGGTCACTTAGTTTGAAAGCTTTGGGTGCAATAAAAAATGAGCTGCCAAGTGAATGTGCAATCCCGTGTGTGTGTGTGTGTGTGTGTGTGTGTGTGTGTGTGTGCGTGTGCGTGTTCGTGTGTGTGTGCGTGTGCGTGTGTTAGTAAGGCTCCTCTGTGTCCGCTTAAGGCCCAGCCAGGGTGTCTGGCTCAAACACACCTCTGTGGCTCGATTGAGGGAAATGGATAGTGCTGCTTAAGTGGAGTCTATCTCACCTACTACACTGTCTTGTCTAATGGAGTCCAATGTGTGTGACCGTGTGTCTGTGTGTGTGTAAGCGCCAAAGGGGCCCCGGAGAGCCTAATCAGGCATTCAGACCAGGCGGCCCTGTCAATACAGCATGGCGCCTTGCTTTTGTTGGGTCTGAGGATCACCCACTGTCTGTCTTTGCCACTTGGCCGGGCCTTTTCTCTCTGTGTGTGTGTGTGTGTGTGTGTGTGTGTGTGTGTGTGTGTGTGTGTGTGTGTGTGTGTGTGTGTGTGTGTGTGTGTGTGTGTGTGTGTGTGTGTGTGTGTGTGTGTGTGTGTGTGTGTGTGTGTGTGTGTGTGTGTGTGTGTGTGTGTGTGTGTGTGTGTGTGTGTAAAATGCAAGAGGAGCCATCAATTATTAAGTGAGACGTTTGGCTCCTAATTGATCAACACTAATGTGTTTTCTAATCACTGCAGTTGAGGAGTTCTTAGTGGTAGTCCAAACAGGGGCTATTGATCTTCCAGTGGAGGGGGGGAAGGGTCTGGAGGCATTTCTTATTTGATGGCTGACAAAAACACATGAACAATCACACACACAGCTACGGCCTGAAGTCGCCATCTAAACAAATTACAATCCAATTTATGTGAAAGGTCTTTCTCTCTCATACACCCAGGAGAGCCAGGCAACAGCATTGATGTGATACACAAATTAAAGAGAGCAAATTTAGAACAAGCAGTCCAACTGGCCGCACTCTCAATTGTATCTTTCCTATAAACAAAAGCCATTACTCTTTAATGCTACCCACCCCCCGTGTTTTCCTGTCTCTGTACGTCAGCACTCAGAGCCAGCGTGTCGCGCCACAAGCCAGAAGGAGATACCTTGTCATCCTTATTGAGATATATGGTCCTAAATGAGGAGAGGGTGGGCAAGCAGACTTACTGTCTGAATATAAATACCCCCCAACCATTGTCTACCGCTAACAATTAGACTAACCTGTTAGCAACACAGTGGTCTTCTTTATTACATTATTATATCACGGTATTCAGCTGACGTCTTTATCCAAGCAATTTACATACACTTTAATACTGTAGTTTGCGTACGGGAGTTATTTGGGGTTAAATATCTTGCCGAAGGACACTACGACATGTTGACTTCAGGGGCTAGGGATCAAACCGCTGACCCTCTAATTAGTACTCTAATTGGTAGACGTATATATACCCACTGTGCCATAGTTGGACTGCTTTTCGATGTATACTAGTATTAGCTAATTATCAAATTTCACTCACATTAGCTACTAGCACTCATTTAGCTAAGGGTAAATGATAAAGCTAGCTACTTAGCATGTCTTTGCAAGCAGCGAATATCTACAAGGAATTATTTTCACCTGGTTTTAAAGGGTGTTGTTGGAAGTAAGGGAGCCCCATTGCGCCACATTTTCACTGCATGACTTGCTCTTTTGGTAGCAGTTCCAAGCTGATATTAGAAGGTGAAGTTGACTAACTGTAGACCGCTGATTGGCTAGAGAGAATCAACATCAGCGTAACATATCTTGCTCAAACCCACCATGTTTCAATAGCCAAGCTACTGTCAATAGCCATAGCCGACTATTCACTAACCACACACTTTTGAAAATGTCAATCTGTAAAACTAAGTTGTATGCTTAGCCATACAATTAACAAAGTCCAGACTGTTCCCAGATTGGTTGCCAATATTCAGCCAATGTAGCGTTGAAAATGCTGTAACCAAAGTTATACCCAGGCGTCACTAGGGCCATTAGCTGAGAATCATGCCTATATCCATTGTGGAAAATGAAACTGAGAACAGGGCCCGGTACTAAAAGTGAGTTGATTCGAGCCGAAACCATGCAATGGGAATGCGGCATAAGAGTCACTCTCGTGTTGAGATGAGTGAAACAAGACCATTGGAGGGAAACAGATTCCACTGGGAAACACAGATAGGCAGGTTGATGAAGTGTCTCATAAGCTCGGCACTAGTCAGCCAGGCGGGCCAGGTGGATCCAATCTCAGCACATTTACAGATGGCGTAGGCGGAGCTAGAAATACTGTATTATGTGCTGTTTTATCTGCTCAAAGGCTTTTAAGACGGACCAAAGGACCTGTAGACAGATTATAGCCAAAGTCTGAACATATACACTTATTTTCAAACTTTTAAGATGAAAGCAAACCAGTTAGAAGACAGTTGTTCTGACTTTCTTAAGGATACAATTCAATGAAGATGGATTAGCAGTAAAAAATATTGTAGGTTTCTTTTAGTGTCGAATTTTAGTATAACAAGTGTGTGTCAGACTGTTTTGCTTCCAACTCCATGTTTGCCCTGAAATTGTATACGATATCCAGGGAAAATGCCAACATTTTTAATGTAAATGGCGATGACAAGGGTTGGGAACATGTTGCGGTTCCTTCAGTTTTTTTTATTTCCATATGCAGAACAATTATATTGAAGCATGCGTTGGAAGTGAAATCCTTGTTTCCAATAATGCTCTTTAAAAAATTATCAAAAAACGTAGTAAAATGAGAATCTAGTAGATCAAATGTAGGGAATGGCAAAAATGAGAGAGAAAAAGAAATCAAGTTCATATCTTTTAAGAAAGATGGGAACAATTAGTGAGATATAAAACACAAAACGTTATTAATGACCGTTAATTAAATCCGTTATTTGTAAGGTATAACATTAAATATATTTTTAATCAGTTTTCTTTTTTTTCTGTTTCTGTCTTTTATTCTCTTTTTCTGATTCATGGATTGTTAATTAGTTATTTCATGTATTTTAGTTTTTACTGTATCTCATTGTGTTATGTATACACTGTTACCAAATACTAAAATGCTAATAAAAAAGAAAAGAAAATCCAAGACATAAACATGAAACTGCCCTGAAGTTAAAATATAAGAATACATTTTAAAATATGTAATTTAATTAGAATACATTAATTGAATAAGAATCCATTACAAAATAATATAAAATATTTTATTTATTTTGTAAGACTTGTGTACCTGTGTGCTGAAATGAAACAGGTCTCTGTAGGTATTGTTACTCACTTTAGCAGCATTGATAACTGTAGCTGTATAGGACTGTGCATTGTCACCGCACGCTCCTCCACGGGACTGGTGACACCGGATCAACTGCAAAAGAATCGAACAATTTACAGACTAATACAAGATAAATAGAATAAGTCTACCAAAAATGTAGGAAAATAAAAAATGTGGGGAAATTAACTAAGGAAATTGGTTTTGCTTTAAAAGAAACATTACCCAACCAAAAAACCCAATCTGAACTGATTTAATTTAAAATACAATATCACTGAAGTGGCTCCATACCAGTATTACTCTGACTGCTCCAAAAACTAGATTTGTCATTTCTGGAAATCCTTAGGCAGTCACACAAACAGTGGCCCCTGCTGTCAATTACTTGAGTGGGCCAGCACCAAAACACTATTATACATTCTCTGTATTACAGACTGTGCACTAAGGCATTCTAGTTTTTGTAAGTACTTAACAATCCCATTACGAGGAAGAGATCAGGACTCCTTTGCATCTGTTGATTTTCAAAATGTTATCATCTCTCATGGACTCTTTTTGGAATGAGTTGTTTATCCACACAGATTAGAGAGGCAGATAAAATGCATTTTTTGGATTGTAAATATGTCGCTTTTCTGATAAGGCACTTCCACAGTGCATGTGTGCCTGTGTGCCTGTGTGCCTGTGTGTGTGTGTGTGTGTGTGTGTGTGTGTGTGTGTGTGTGTGTGTGTGTGTGTGTGTGTGTGTGTGGATTACCTTATTCTCAGCGTAGGCTAGCCAGCGGCTTCCCAAAGCTATTGGATTTATGCTGGGGCCTGGACAGGGGTAGCAGCCTGAAAAGACACAAATATTGACATTGTCATACTGCAAGGGGTACCAATGCTTAATACATCATAAAAAATTACATTTTAGTAAATAAACGCATGAAGTTTGGAAGAACACATTAATGTTGTGTGTGTGTGTGTGTGTGTGTGTGTGTGTGTGTGTGTGTGTGTGTGTGTGTGTGTGTGTGTGTGTGTGTGTGTGTGTGTGTGTGTGTGTGTGTGTGTGGAGGGGTGACGTGTCAGTGGGCTTGTGTCTTTGAACAGCATGACCTAATGGAGACTGTGGTACCCAATAAATTGAGGATGGCTCCTCTGCTAAAAGACTAACACAATAATCCCTGTGGACACACACACACAGATAACACGGGTGTGTGTGTGCGTGTGTGTGTGCCAACATAATAATAAATAGCAACAAATAATCCTAACATTTAAATGTATTGGACGTTATAAGAACTTTATATTTCTTTCTTGTTTTTTTTACCACTCAAACAATTTTGAAAAAGCGCAATAGTGTGGATTGCTGAGCTCAAACTATCAAGATATCTATCACTTCTGCTGCATTATAGAATCAACCAAAAGAAGGCAAACATCTGCTTCTTAACAACTGAAAACATTATTGTTTAAAATAAAATATCTTATTTCAATGCAAGCAGATACAGACAGGGCCAAAAATGTTGATTGCTCCCACTGTGACGAAAGCACACAGACATGAATATCTAATGTGAGTGCGTGGAGGTGTGGGGAAAATGGTTTGCTGGTAATTACTGTGCTCTGGGAGCAGATGAGGTAGAGTCAGCAATTTAGCGCGCTGTGTTGGGAAAGGGTTCGGTTGGGGAAAAGTGTGTTGAGGTTAGCCACAAGGACTGCTGCTAACGCTAAAGAAGCCTTTTGTGCCTCTCCAAGGCCGAGGGGAGCACAGGCGGTGAGATAACGTGTTTCACATCCTGGAAGGAGAGCAGGGGGGAAAGCGGGAAGAAGAAACAGACATGATGGGTGGACTCAAAAGAAAAAGAAAGGGACAGCTCACACACACCACAGGATAAGCCTTGTGTGCTCGGAACAACATAACTTGTCCACCATCAAATCCCTGGAGAAAAAACAGACAGGAATGGCTGATCAAAGTACCTTTTGTGTACTGCTTTTACGGGTCAAACAGACCAAACAACGTTATGGAGAGGAGGCCCCTGCATTCAGAAGCGATTAATAACTATTGAGCATGTTTGGTTTCCTGTGGCTCAGACACTGATAAGGAAGGCAGGCAGACAAAGAGGAGACACATTAAAGGCAGCCAGTAAGGTCAGTTTACTACAGTCAATGACTTAAGTGGACGGCAATGGCCTTGTAATACAGTCTGGCCTTTCCTTCGCAGCCTCCTCGAGCGGACATGGCAGGAACAGCCAGGAAGATGCAAGAGCTGTGTTGTAAGCTGTTTCTAGTTTCAATGGAGGACCTCACATCTTGTTTTGATAAAAGCAGTTGAGTCACCAGGAAAAGTTTAAAAGAACCACACTGCAGTGGGCTGGTTACATTATAAGCAAGTTCAAGCCAAATCACAGATCATGTTGAGTAATGCTGGTATTGATTGGCGTTGTTTGCTTTTCGCTACTTCATACAGTACAGGACACTGGGGTTCAATGTGGACCAACATTCGACAAACATACATTTATTTTGGCACTACAATAATATTTTACATGTGATGACATTGTGATGGTTCCTGGGTTTATAATTCACCATTGGGGTGTAGTTGAACATCCGCAGACACAAAAACGTTCCTCAAAAACTAAAACAAATTTTTTAAATGATGCTTCTAAACTTTGGTTAGCATAGAACACTTCTATATAGTTGGATATAAACACACTTGAAGTTAAAAAGAATGTCTTACTTGTTACAAAGAACTTCTTCGTGAAGGTGCAGCTGTCAAAGGCAGCAATCTTCTCTTGTAGGCTCACAACAAGAATACTTAAAATAGAAGAAAATATTCAATTAGTACAAAGAAAAAAACAAGCTGATTTAAAATGTCATGGTATTGATTTAACAATCAGACGTACTGTTTGTTGCAGTTGAGATCATAGATGGGCGTCTTGAACTGAATTGATTTGACCATTTCCCCCGTCCGTAGAGAATACAGGTCAACGCAACAGTAGGGAGGGCTTGTCCTGAAAAAAAAATAAATAAATGCTTAAGTCGGTCTCGGAATAATTAACTTTGTCTCGTTAATAAAGGGTTACAAGGCAGGATAAATACACTAGTGATGAAAGATAACCGGCACACAATGACCCTCATTTTCTTTTCATCGTACCATACACTTCCAAACAAAAATGACATATGTGACAATCTTTCTATTAATAATACATTTCTACCATATCTGGCGACACATCAGATTCAAATAGAACCCCCATCACTGCAAGCTTGACTTGAATTTTTATATAAATGTCTGTTTGTTTTCATATAGGGTTATATATGCTCAGATCAGAGCCTTGTAGTTTAAGGAGAAAAAATCACCTATTTTCGATTCTGGAAATTGACATTTGAATTGTTGTTTGCATAGAATACTACTATATTGTTAGATACAAAGGCAATACTGTGTAATCTCTGGGACAACAATAATTGTATTGTGTAAATAAGAGAATGTTGATCTACAAATGAAATGAAAAAACAATAGAAATGTATTGTTAAAATATGATTTAAAGCCTTTCCTCTTTATGGTGAGACAGAGATCTGCCTCTACCATTCAAAAATGTCAACACCTTCAAACAATGGTTAAAACCAAAGGAAAAAAGTGGCGCGAAAGGGCAGTTTGAGAATAAATATCAGAGTATAACAGAGCTGCTTTTGCATTTTAATTTAAAGGTCCCCTATTATACTGTTTTTCATCAATATATAATAGGTCTTAGATATATACAAAACATGTCTCTGAAGTGTTTGGCTCCAAATACCCAACATATCATTGCAGCATCCCATAATCCCCTCTGTTTCAGCCCTGTTACAAAAGTGCTGATTCTCTGTCTGTTACTTTAGATGAAAATAAGGCAAGGCAAAGCAAGGCAAGGCAAGGCAAGGCAAGGCAAGGCAAGTTTATTTATATAGCACCTTTCAACACAAGGCAATTCAAAGTGCTTTACAAAAAAATGAAAGACATTAAGAAAATGGCATTTAAATTCAGTCATTAAAAAGAAAAGATAATAAAAGAAACATTAAAAGAAAAAATACATAAGTAAATAAGGAGCCCCTCCCCACGCCCCTCTGAGAGATATTTGGTTAAAAAGAACACAATGGTGCTCGAGGAGGAGATTCAGGTGATAAGGTGGGGGGGGTTACCTTGATTGGTGATTGGCTAATGGTTACACAAGCCAGAAAATCGTTATGACATCATAAAGTGGCCAAAATCTGATCAGCTCAGACAGGTTTTTATATAAATGGATCAGGACAAAAAGTGAGCTAATTTTTTTTCCTGAAACTTTCAGAATCTCTTTACACAGAGGGGACGTAGAAAAGACAGGAAAAAGTGGATTTTGCATAATAGGTTACCTTTAAGTTCATGAGAAAGTGTTATATTAACAAAAATGTTTGCAACAGGATTGGCCAGGTGGAAGAAGTGTGAAAGTAAATTCTATTAAAACGGCGCTCTTAAGCTCACTTTAATCATTTTTTACACAAAAACCAAGTTCAAGACAATGAAAGCCTCCAAAGTAGATCTATACCAGGGCTCTCCAACACGTCGATCACGCGAGCTACCAGTAGCTCGCGGGCAGCTTTTCAGTTGCTCGCCGCTCGATTATCGATTATAGCATTTTTCGGCCGTGGCTGGACAATAACGTTTTTTTATTTTAGAATTTGTTCTGTCACACGAATATCAAATTGGTCGGTGACGAAGAGATCAAGGAACAGACGTGACAGCGGCACAGCGACACCACACACGGAGCAGTCTGCTTTCTCCACCAACACCAGTCCAGAACTAACAGCAGAATGACCCGCTCCGCTCTGAATCAGGCACTGTCGCTGCGGCTCAGAGACACACGAGGGATTTGTGTTTTTTGAAAAACACTCGTTATCGTCATGTCAGGCCCCCTCCCTGAAAATAATGAGTGACAAGCTGATAGTGACCCGATAGAAACTTTATTATTCACTTAATCACTGATTGAGATATAATGAAGCTAACTTAATCTCATACATTCATGGGATTTATGTAACAGTAACGGGCCGTCTCCACGGCAGCGTTAAAAAAATCTTGGAGGTGGGCGTATCTGAAGCTTGGGGATTTTTTTGCGATCAACCAATCACATGAATCTCCCGCCCGCGACATACGAAGCCAAAAAGCCCGAAGTAAACTGGATATAAACTCCCCAAAACAGGCGAAAACATACCACTGTCTCTGCCACCTCCCTCCATGCCTGGCTCCTCCGGTTTATATCCCGGTAGGTCTGGTCATAAAGCACCGAGTGATTGATTCGCTACCGCTAATTTCTCCTCCATTTTTTGGAATATGAGGAAATGACCTGCGGTCTGGCTCTCCCAGCATACACGCCGTTTGATTGGCTAGAGCTTGAACTGTCAGATTTGCGTACACGGGATTTGATTGGCTGACGCTTCCTCCTCAGCTTCAAAAGTTGAACATTGTTCAACTTTGGATCTTGAAAATCCTGAGAATCTCCGCTCGCCTGCCCACAATGCATTTTGGCGAAAGCGAAAAAAAGTGACGTCACCCCATTCAAAGTGAATGGGCAGAAGCGTTTCAAGATTTTTTAACGCTGCCGTGGAGACGACCCGTAAGACAGAGAATGTAAGTGTGCACCCACATGCACTATTTTAGTTTTTATAATGATGTTGTAAATACTCCTGTTGTCTGCTGTGTTCAGACTCAAGTCCTGTGTGTGATGCCACATTCAGGACATTCAGTGTCTTTTTTTTAACAGAAGACCGTAGCTAGAAGCTGCAGCTAGACTGCAGAAGTATTAGTTTTTTGTTTTTGAGGATGGAACCATTTTCACACACAGATATAGGGAGGCTAGACCTATACAATTAATTTATTATGGTTTATAATTTAATGTCAAGACGAAGAAGAAGAAGAAAAAGATGGCTGAACAACTGTTCAGTGTCAATCCTGTGGAGATCTCCAAAATAATGTTCAGCTTAAGTCTCAGCAAAACTCACAACATTTATGGAGCCTTGTAGACCCCGAAAACTATAGAACATTTACCAAGCAGCACTGAAAATGTCTGCTTTATTTGGCTCTACTTTGTGAAGCAGCTTTTTCTGACATGAATGTCATGAAATCTAAATACAGAACAAGAATGACTGAAGAACATATAAATGACTCTATTAGAGTGAACCTAAGTGGGTACACTCCAGCATACACCTCTATGGTGGACTCCATGCAGCGCCATTCATCTCACTAACTGTGAAAAAGAGTGAATGCACTTATTTTACACATGTGCCATAAAATGCTTGTAAGGTGGTGATTAAGGACACTTATGTGAATGTTCAGTGATGTACTTACGTGGGCCATAATAATATGTGAGAAATGTTCGTTTTCTTGGAACTTGATGTGAAGTTAAGATTTTTGATAAGCTTTAGGTATTGCAATTTCACACGTGTACAAAAGTATAGCTTAATTCAACTGATGAGCGCTATGTGAATAAATGTAAGCGATGTGATGCAAGTAGCTCTTGGCCACTTTCATTTTTTCAAAGTAGCTCTCAGATGAAGAAAGGTTGGAGACCCCTGATCTATACGGACCAATAAAACACTTTTTCTCATTTCACATTTCTCGTGTCTTACAACTCATTATGACAGCAGCTTCTTCATTTTTTCACCAGATGCCTAAAGTGCAACACCCCCAACCCACGGCACCAATGCAATAATCGTATTGAATAGAACAGGGAGGTTGCATTTTTGTTTGACATAATGCCTTTGTCAGACGGAAGTGTTCCAATGGGAAAAGCTCTGAATAATGACTCTTTAGCTAAAATAGAAATGTTTTAAGAGTAGCTCCATCATAAATTTGTCTTGCAAAAAGCTAACATTTTCCTAACGTTCACAAACAGTATTTTTGCAGCCTTTGTGCAGTAACTCTGAAGACCCCTAGGGGTCACGGGACCCCTGTTGAGGACCCATGTGATAGATTAACCAGCCTTTCCAACGTTTTTTTCCTCTTCCTTCCACCCCTAAATTCTTCCAAACGTTTCCATGATGTTTCTACGTGGTCTGTAATTTATCATCCACTGTCTTCCAGTCTTTTTTTAATGAGAGTTTACTAATTTACTAAAGCCCCATATTATCAAAAATGCTCTTTTTCATGGCTTTTAAACATAAATATGAGTCCCCGGAGTATCAGAAAAGAGGGAACCAGATTTGTCTCCCCTTCTGACCTGAACAAATTATTTGTATGTCATATTCAGGTTCCAGATATCAGTAGAAACACCTCCAGCTAGATGATGTCCCTGAGAGAAGCTGCTGGATCACTCCTGCCCACCATGTTGTTCCTCACCATTAACACATCCCAAGCAAAGTACGCCTCTTGTTCTGTTGTTGGCATCGACTTTACCAACAAAAGTCATATTGGACAGCAGCATAACTGAGTGAGCCCTCAAAACGCTAGGAATGTGAATGTGTATGTTTTTGTGTGTGTGTGTGTGTGTGTGTCTCCCTTTATTTCTTCGAATGTTAACTGGATAATATAAAATAGGTTCCACAGAAAAAAGTTTTGATGAATTTTTCGTCCTCATGCTTAACGTCTCTGTCAACATTGCAGAGGTCCCCGAGCTGCGAGCACAGCTACCATTATCAATCAGGAGTACAGACATTAAGATTAATACAAACATTTCAGCCGACGATAATTTACTTTCAGGAGGCTGTATCATCGATTTCCGCATTATCAGTGTCCGATCAATCTAATTCTAAGCTCTATCCCGAAAAATGGGCCTCCGGAATTGATTCAAAGCGACCATGATAACGCACTATTATAGAATCAAAATGGCACAGGGTTCAATTGTTTTGCTTTTGCAGTATTTTAAAAAATGACCCAGTTCTAATGGAGGCAATACAAGGTCAGATGTAATAGGATTTCCTGATGCCGGAGACGTTGGGGCGTAGGTTGAAAGCAAGGCTAAATCACAATTATCATTATGGATCATGGAGGGATGTCAGTCCTTGCACA